CCTTTTTATGGTTTATACTTAGAATTTTAGGGGCCTATGGGTAGAGTACTGTTAGGATTTTAATGGAATTTACGAAGGCTGTGTTGATGGTTTTATAAGTGCTGTGTTTGTACAAGGGCTTTCGAAGTGTAAAAGTGTGTGTGTGTAGGGCCACAGCATACCCCCAAATCCGATACTATGGATTAGGGCCACTAGTTAAGGTGAAGTTTGTCCTCAAGTTCAGTTACGTAGGTTACTTGAGAACGGTTTGGGAGGAGCTTCATAGTGGGTTGCAGAGTGCTCTGTGGAGTTACTATGCAGTAGGGCTTATGTTGGAGATTGGGAAAGTCGCAGTTCAGGCGACCCAGGAGTTAGGGTTTAGGGTTTATCGATAAATTTACAGTTAAGCTTCGGTTTTCAAGTCACGAGTTGGCTACTCCCATGCAGTGAGCAAATCTAAAACCCTCATGGAGAATGTTTGTGGATGCTGTTGGTGATGATGATGGTGATGATGNNAATAATTAGAATCGGGTTTGGGGTATATTATACTATAACTATAATAAGGAACCCCCAACCCTATTCTAATTATTAGGCATTTATAATGGTAAGGAGGGGTGTTGGGGTTCTATCGAGTTTTGTAATGTACCTAGTACCCAAACCACCAAAAGTAGGCAAAACCATGGCCCAAAATCCATAATAATAATAATAATATTAATAATAATAATAATAACAATAATAATAATAACAATAATAACAATAACAATAGTAATAATAATAATGATAATAAATAATAATACTAATGATAAGAAGAAGAAGAATAAAGGGCCATTCGTCTACGTGCTGTCGGGGTCCAGGTATACCCAGATTTTTTGGGCTCTTCCGATGCAAAACTTCGTGGGTCAGGAGCCGGAACCGGAAATCCGGAAGGCTTCCCTGGGAGTCCAAAAACCTACCGTTTTAGGGGTTCTACCCTCTACTTAAGGGGTCATAACCTACCTTTTTGTAGGGTTTGGGGTCACAGGTCATACCTTGAGGAGAAAGCGCTAACAAAAGCTGAAGCTTTTCCACGACCCTGCTTAAACGCTTCTGAACCCAAAAATCATGCTATGTGTGTCTTTTGGGCCATGTTCAGCCTTAGGATTACAACGACTGCAACTCTCCCTCGCTCTCCTTCTCTCTCTCTCTCCTTCCCTCCCTCCCTCCCTCCCTCCCTCCCTCTCTGTCTCTCTCTCTCTCTCTCTCTCTCTCTCTTCCCTCCACCTTGGGAGAAACCTCCCCCGGATAATGGAACAAATCAGGGTCTCCGTGAGTGGCTGCAGAGTGGCGAAGGGACCTTCGACATCCAGCAGAAGTATGCAGAGATTTTCTATGGTGGCTCGTCGTGAAACAAGCGATAGGTGTTGATTTTATTTTTTCCTCCCTATTGTTAGATGTCCAAGACAACATTCATGACACCTCGAGTCTTTCCCAAATCCCGGAACTCTAAACCCTTAAACCCTAAACCCCCAAACAAACTTTCCCCAAACTCTTTAAACCCTTAAACCCTTAACCCTTAAACCCCTAAACCCTAAACATTGCCTAAGCTCTAAATCCAGTTTTCAGTATTCGGGCAGAGAGGTAGAAAAGGGCGTGGAAGGTTTCGGGGCTGTCCTGGGGTTTGGGGTTTTGGGTGCAGGGTTCAGGGTTCGGGGGTTCTGGGTTTAGGGTTTAGGATTTAGGGTTTTGGGGTGTAGGGTTTTGGGTTTTGGGGCTACGGTTCAGGGTTTAGGGTTTAGTGTTTAGGGTTCAGGGGGTTCTGGGTCGTTTGAGAATTTGGCATGTTGGGCTCTGGGGCTTCGGGGTTTAGGCTTGCCTTGTCAAGTCCTGCAACCCTGCGCTTAACTTAAACCCCAGAAAGCCTGACGTGGCAGCACATAGGTACGGCTTAGGGCTTTTAGGGTTTAGGGTTTATGGGTTTAGGCCTCTGGCTTAGAGCTTGGAAGCCTGTGCTAGCCCCATATAAACCCTAAACGCCCAAACCCTAAACCCCTTAAATCCTAAACCCTAAACCCCTAAGCCCTAAAGCCCTAAACCCTAGGTTGGGGCTACACGTCCGTCCCTGTCACTTTGGTGAGCTGCGAGGGCCAGAGCCTCACAACTTAAGTGTCTGGATTGGGTGATGGACTATGGGTTTAGGGTTTAGGGAATGGGGTTCGGCGTTTAGTGTTGGGGGGGTTAGGGATTTGGAGTTCTTAGCTTTTCATTTTTTGTGTTTTTTTTGCCGGTTTTGGGGCTTCGTTCGGGTTTAGGAGGCCGCTGAATCTGCCTCGATGAGGCTCTGCAGAGCTTGCATCCTTGCCTTGCAGCTGCCAGGGTTTGCTAGTACTGTTTTTATTCGTCTGCATCTCTTGCTCTCGTTTGTTGCTCTCGCTAAGTACCTTGAAAAAACCCAAAGCCCTTTAAAAGCCCTCCCTCACAGCTACAACCCTAAATCCCCGAACCTTATAGGAACCCTTAAAGGCAGCCCTGTAGGGGAGATTTCGGGGAAGAGGGGACTCTGGTTCTGTGACCACCCGGTTTTTCGGGTTCGTGGTGCTCTGTGGGTATGGGACTTAGAGCTTATATTATATTGCTTCAGGGTTCTTGGGCTTTGAGGGGTCCAAGAGTTGAGGGGTTTAGGGAATTTATTGCTTTAAGGGTGTTTAGGGCTTTAGGGATTTAGGCTTTAAAGGTTTAGGAGGCTTTAGTTTGAGGGGTTCAGGTTTAGGGATTCAAGGCTTCGGGGCCTAGGGGTTTAGGGTTTAAGGGTCTGGGCGTTGAAAGGTTTAGGAGGTTTGGGTAGGGATTTAGGGTGTCGGGGTCTAGGGGTTCAGGCTTCAAGGATTGAGGCGGGGGGACGCAGGGTAATTAAGTGACAAGTAAAAGCGATGTAGTAAGCTATCAGCTGCGATGTACACTAGAGTTTGAGTTCCTTAGCTACGTAGACAGAAGCAACGCTATGCGAGACCTCGCTTCAAGCCCCTACATGGAACCATGTAGGGCAAGAGCCCCCAAACCCTGAACAAGCCGCAAACCCTTAAAACGAACAAGATACTACTGTAAGGGCTGAGTAAGTATCCTTTAACCTTTCGGGGCTTATATATAATCCTAGTTTTACTGAAAAGGTTAACCTTTTTTGGGCTAGGGTACTCAGCCCTAAACCCTAAACTCTAGACCCTAAACCCTAACCCCTTAAAGCCCTAGACCCTAAAGCCTGAACCCTTAACCCTTAAAGGCCTAAACCCCTTCAAAACGGAAAAATTAAGTGTCGCCCAGGTGTGGACCAGCATGTGCAAGGATCCCAGAACCTGGAGGCTGCCACTGCGACGGGATGGAGTTCAAGAGTTTAGGTTTAGGGCTTAGCGGTTTAGGGCAAAGTTTAGGGTTTAGGGTCTAGCGGTTTAGGGTTGAGGGGTTTAGGGTTTAGCGGTTTAGCGGTTTAGGGTTTAGGGTCTAGGGATAGGACGTCACCAGGGTTCGTTGTTTGGGGATTTATGGTTTACGGTTGGTCCCAAATCCCAATGCATGGTTGTATTCATCTCCTCCCCCCTTCACCCCGGCGCACCCTGTTTCACCTCAGCTCAAACTGGGTCCATGTTATCTGAAGCCACCCTGCACCCTAAATGCCAAAGGTTGATGCTGCATGGAGGCCTCAGGATTTCAAGTGCCCGCTGATGATGCGGATGATGATGATGATGATGGTGATGATGATAATGATCTTGATTGATGATGTTGATGACGATGACAAGGATGATGTTGATGATGGTGATGACCAACTAGTAATTTAGTATTAGTATGTTTTTTTCGTCAGGTTTGGGGTTAAAGGTTTGTTAAGCTTGTATTTTTGGTGCTTACAGTAGGCTTTGTCACTAGCCGCGACGCCCCAATGTTGGATCTCCCTAAACCCGAAACCCTAAACCCTACACCCCATCGCTGAGGGCCCATGTTCATTTACTTGGAGCTCGGTGGGCATTTTCGGGGCGTGCGAAGAGTTAAAACGGTAACCCCCTAAACCCTAAACCCTGAACCCTAATCCCTAAACCCTAAACCCTAAAGCCTAAACCCTGAGCCACTTATAAAACGTGGGGATATCAGGATTCTGGGTCT